AAATAAACAGACATGATATTAAACAGTGAGAATAAAGAAAAATATATTTCAAACTTGCACGGTATTCACCCAAGTCATTATTATATCATTGTTCACAAAATGCATCAGATAACATTCCAGAAGTAAGCACTTATATAAATATTTAAAAGGACAACATATAGGTTTAGTGCAGGTTCAATGACAACATAAAGAGTTGTAGTTTATTCTTGAAACTTAAATTTTCAACATTGTGAAGTTAGTATTTGTCTTTTGGTTGAAGTAATGTAATTCATTCAAGTTTCAATTTGCAGAAGAAGAATAGAATCTGAAACTTAAAATCGCAACGCGAAAATGTCTATCGTAATGCGAAAATGACTATCGCAATGCGAAAATGACTATCGCAATGCGAATTTGACTATCGCAACGAGAGAATCGCAATGTGAAATGAAAATCGCAACAACAAAATCGCAACGCGAAAATGAATATCGCAATGCAAATTTGACTATCGCAACGAGAGAATCACAATGCGATTTTCATTTCGCATTGCGATAGTCATTTTCGCATTGCGATAGTCATTTTCGCATTGCGATTCTCTCGTTGCGATAGTCATTTTCGCGTTGCGATAGTCATTTTTGTATTGCAATAGTAAACTATTCTTCTTCTGCAAATTGAAACTTGAATGGATTGCATTACTTCAACCAAAAGACAACCAAAAACAAATACTAACTTCACAGGGTTAAAGAATAAACAGTTAAACAGTATTGGCAGCAACCGAATGAATTTACTAAGCAATCTAAGTGAAATTACGAGTAAATTTATCATCAAGTTAAATATGAAAAATATTAAACTTATCTTGTTGCGTAGAGTATGAACCTCGTTCTGCAACGATGCTACAATCTCACGTAGAGCTGCTACCTCACCACGTAAAGTAGACACCTCAACACGCCATGCACCATTATCATCGCGTAAAGTACCGACCTCCTCACGCAAGGCATTGACCACATTACGTAACTCCCCTAACTCATCCCGTGGAGGTGGAGAACAGGGAGATAAACGTCTTGGCATCTTTGCCGGTCGCCTATCATGAGGTGATGGTGGAGAAGAGGCTCGATGATGTGACAGAATAGGTGATGACTCTCGTTGTGTAGGTGTATATTCGGGTCGATCAGGTGATGGCTCTGGGTGAGGTGATGGCTCTCGAAGTGGTGGCTGCTCATCATCCGTGCCATAAAAAAAAAAGCTTACTAGCTTGCCACCAATCAGTGGCAAGCTCAACTTCCGTGGGTGTCAGCCTCTGTAATGGAGTGTTGACCTCCTAACAATATAAAAGCTCAAACAAAGTTAAACGTGTACTAGTAATAGCTTGTTTATAAACATATGGTAGTATTTGTGTTAACTTATATTATTTATTGTAGTATACGGTAGTAAATCTTCACATTGCTGCAATGACCGTTTCCTCTTCCAGGAAATAGCCCTAGGAATATCATTAGAAGTTTTTAATGCATATGTCTGCATGGCGGGAAAGGCCTCAAATATCCAAATCTACAAACAAGATAATAACAAACATTAGTAATTGTTAAAGAATTAATTATAATTTTGGAAACATTATATAAAAATTATTACCTTAAAGGCTCAAATAAAGCCTGACAAAGTGTATTTGGAACTATCGCCACGCAAACTTTTCCGATCATTAAAGGCAGACGACAACTTATTCCATGTAGCTCTCCATAGATACGAACCCCACGGAAACAGGTTCCATGCATTTAGGTCATCTACCAATTTAATTAGATCATTAGGAATAGGTTGTCGGGCCTCTCTGCCTAAATAGCCGGCTTCCAAAAGTATTAGAAGGCATACTCGGACAACATCGACGTCATCCATCCGAGTAAAACCATCTTTCTTATTCAATAATCTCGTCAAGTCTTCCACGTGTAAATTCGACTTCTCCGTTGACTGCTCAGGAAAAACCTGGGAAAACCATGATAAGCGGGTAATATGTCTAGTGTACCGATCTACATCATCGTGTCCGAAGCGTAGACCGGTGATTAAGCAAAACTCCTCCCGCCCAAAACACGTATACGCTGGTGGAAAATCAAACCATATCTCTTCATCACGACATTGTATAGTCTCTGGTAGATCGCTAGTCATGGTTTGAAGAAACAGATGGGTCAACATAGCATCTCCACCCGGATGTTGTACTTTCAGCCATGGCTCGAAGCAAGTATCCTCAAATATTTTTCTTTGTGCAGGTGAAAGCTTCGACGCAATTATTTTGGCCAAGCTTACTTTATTTCTTAAGGTCAATTGAGCTGAATAAAAGTTCTGCAAAAATAATAAACATACCAATTTAGATATACCAAAAACTACACTGTGAAGATATGAACAATAAAGAGTAGTAGTTTATTCTTCAAACTTAAATTTGCAACACTGTGAATTTAGTATTTGTTTTTTGGTTAAAGTAATGCAATTCATTCAAGTTTCAATTTGCAGAAGAAGAATAGTTCAAATTTAATCACTCGATATATATAGTATGGACATTTGGTACGTCACCTACTAGGAAGATAAGCAGTTTCAAGATCCCAATTACTTATTAAAAAAAAACCTTTAATAATTACCCCAAGTCACCTAATAAAAAATCTTGAATCTTTAATTTTTGGGGAGGTTATGCTGTCAGGCAGACTAATATATAGTTAAAAAATAGCATAATTGATTAAATATGTGATTAGTTAAAAGTGTTATTAGAAATGTTATATATTTTTACCGGAAATGTTATTTGTGTTGGTAATAATAATAATAATAATCGAGAATATTATCGTCGTATGTAAAATGCTCAAAAAAAATATTAACTTTAACATAATCGATTAATTAATAGAAATATTATCAACCATAATAACATAACAGGTAGCGCTTATATAACGTAATAGGTAACACATTTTTAAAACTGATGTGTCATTAAAATTCAACGATAACAAAATATGTTAATTACTTGATTTGTTATCGATATTATCAACATATTAAATAGCGTCTAAAATGTTACCAAAATTTAAGCTGATAGAACCTTATAAATTTGACGATAACATAATCAGTTAATTACTGGAAATATTATTAATCATAATAACATAACAAATAACGCTTATTTAATGTAATAGGTAGTTTTTTTAAAGCTGATGGGGCCTTAGAAATTCGACGATAAAAAATAGGTTAATTACTTGATTTGTTATCGATATTATCAACATATTAGGTAACGCCTAAAATGTTACCAAAGTTTAAGCTAATGGAGCATTAGAAATCCGACGATAAAAAATAGGTTAATTACCGGAAATATTATCAACCATAATAACATAACAAATAACGCTTATTTAATATAATAGGTAGCGTATTTTTAAAGCTGACGGAGTTTTAAAAATCTGACGATAACAAATAGGTTAATTACTTAATTTGTTATCAATATTATCAACATATTAGGTAGCGCCTAAAATATTATCAAAGTTTAAGCTACTGGCCTTAGAAATCATACGATAACAAAATATGTTAATTACTTATTTTGTTATTAATATTATCAACATATTAAGTGAAACCTAAAATATTACCAAAATTTAAGATGATGGGCTTTTGAAATCCCACAACAACAAAATAGTTTAATTTCTTATTTTGTTATAAATAAATATTAACATACTAGGTTGCGCCCAATAATATTATTTCGAATAAATAAGTTGGTTGCAATATGAAATATTAAAGTTGTGTTTAATGATATTGATAGGATTTAATATATTAAGTATATTTGAATGATAATTATTTTTAAAATAAATATCGATAATACTATGATCTGATGATCGATACTTTAACAAATATTAATACTTTTAGAGTAAGTATGAATACATTATTATTATGGATGCATTATTATTAACATTTAGAATATCCATACTTTTAGAGTAAGTATTTATACATTATTAATAACGTTCAAACAAACCGGTAGGTAGTTTAACATAATAGGTAGCGCTTATTTTATTTTAATTGGTTAAGTTTTAAATATAAGATCCATACATACAATATAGATATAGATACTTTTTCAGGACAATAGTTGGACATAATTTATTGTCGAAACAATATCCTTACTTTTAGAGTAAGTATAGATACATAAGCTATACATTTATGTTACAAAATTTTTAATAGTTTTTCATGTTTTTCACATACTACACAAAAAATATTTGATTATTTATATTTTTTTATAAAATATTATTTAGAATTTAAATTTATCAATTTTAACTAAAGATAATAATAAATATGGAATATCTATGTTTATTATTTTTAATTTAATAATAATATATACTGTAACATAAAAATAAATAATTAAACGTTTATAATTACTAAATTAATATTTTAAAATTTACTCAAAAATAACCCTAAATTAATATTTTCAATCGTGAAGTATGTATTAATATTTATATATATGTATTAATATCTACCGATAACTAAAATTTACCGATTATCAAATTTTTTAATAAATTTTAATATTTTCCACCTATAACATTATAAGTATGTGAACATATTTTTATAACATTTTACCGAATTTGATAATTATTTTATAAATTTTTCAATCACACTATTTTTTTTAACAATATATTAGTCTATCTTTCCTACCAACCCAATTTTTGGGATAAAAAGTTGTAAATAAAGCTTTTATTTTTATTTTATATTATGTGGTCTACAAGAGATTAATAGCAACTGTACACAACACAAAGACCGACACCCTCCCTCTTCCTTCAAAGGACGCCGATATATGTCTACATTTTTCTCCCATTATTTTCAGCCTTGAATCTTTCTGTATGCATCCAAAATGAAAGAACTTCTAGTAGTTGAAACAACAGAGACATGAGAGGAGAAACAAAAATCTTGTTTATCACCTAAACTACATACTCATTCTCCATCAGCTTCTTTCTGGGTTTTCCCTCCCTCATCTTTTGGTTGTATTCTTCTTTCATTGCATGCAGCTTCCTTTTCAGAGACCAAGTGAAAGCGGGTCTTACTTTCTTTTTCTTCTTGCAAAAATTTTGGGCATATTTGATGTTTCTTCTTACCATGGATGAAATGTTCTTTTATCATCGTTTTTGTTTATGTGGTATCTTTCAAATGATTCCCATGTTTTTTTTTCCTTTCAATTTTTTGGTTGTTATTAGGCTATGTCCTGATGAAATTTAAGGAGATCTTAAATGGGTTATCTTATCTGCTTCTTGTCATCCAAGGCTAGTCTAGTAGTTGCCCAAAAGATAAGATATTTCTCTAATTATCGTTTCGTAGCTACTACACGAATAATTATAGATGGAAGTGTTTTGATTTGGTAAATGATCAACTACCTGATGTTACCTGCATAATAAATCCATCATGCAGTAGAATTTGATTAAGATATTTCTGTTCATGACAGCCTTTTTATGAGTCAATCTTCAGAGATGGGTTAAAACCCTTAGCATTTGCAATGGGGTCTCTTCAATATGTTTTCAGTAACTATATAGCACAATAAACTTGTTTAATTTGGCTGATTTTTATTTTTTTGTTCATGGGAAAATTCTTCTGGTGATTGCAGAGATTTCAATAAGCTGTAAATTGCAATACTTGTCGGCTGCCTGAGAAAGGATGCCAAACCAGCTATGGTTTGCACTGCAGATGATTTATCAGCATGGAAGGATTTTCCAAAGGGTCTCAAGGTCCTTCTACTCGATGAGGACAGCGATTCAGCTGCTGAGTTAAAATCAAAGCTTGAAGCAATGGACTATATTGGTTAGAATCAACCTTTTTTTTTTACCTGAATTTGAAGTCTTTAGTTTCTGTCTTTTCACTTCACATGATTATTCTTTTTTTCTCTTAGCTACGTTGGTCCCGTCTCTGTCCTCAAAGCATATCTGTACCTGCTGTAGCTCCATTGTTTTAGATTAGTAGTTTTTGGTTGGATTTGGTTGTTTTCATGAGCTCTACGAAAAGGAATCAATTTGTTGCATGAGCTTGACTCTGCTATAAATAGATTTCCCCCTCCACATGAACAATTAAAGTAACAAAATGTAATTGTTTTTGTAGCAATGGATATTTTAATACTTAATTTGATGAAAAGGAATAAATCTTTTTTCCCTTTTTATGGGGTGGGGTTTCTGAAAAAGGCTTGTGTATGGAAAATTTTCTTTTAATAGTACATCAAATTTCAGATATGTTCAGTGCAGTTATGTTCTCCCCTTTAAAGATCTCCTGTTCAGTGAAAATGAAATACAAATGTATACTCTTTACGGTTTCCTTTTGCAAACGGTATGTTAATACTCTATCTTCATGGTAATCTCATGTATTTCCTTTAATCTTGCCTTTACTTCTGTATCCTTTTCTAATTTTATTTCTCTCTGAATGTATGAGAAAAGTTATTGTGCCTTTTGCAGTTTATACCTTCTGCAACGAGAATGAAGCTCTTTCGGCAGTTTCAAGTAGACCTGAAAGTTTCCATGTAGCCATTGTAGAGGTAATGAATGGACTTTGATGATTTCTACAACGTGCATGCTTCAAGTGTAGATGATTTGTCGTAAACACATTGTTATAGACCTTCATCACGATTTCGTTGTTCTGGAACTTGTACTAGTTGCTTACTAGAAATTTACATTATATAATCATAAGCTACTTTTGCTTTGTCATACATAGTAATCCTTTGTCACTTTGGTCCTTCACATGCCACTTTATACTAACAGCATGTATGATGCAGGTTAGTAGTACAAACAATAACAATGGGTGTTTCAAGTTTCTTGAAACCGCAAAGGACTTGCCCACCATTAGTAAGTTCGGAAACTACACCTGCCTGGTTTTGCTGTAGATCTTCAAATTATATCATATGAAACACTGTTTAATCGCCCTGTACATAAATTTTTATTGGCATCTGTGATAGTAAATCACGGTTGTTGGACTTATTGTCTAGTTCCTAATGCTGTTGTAAATCATTCTCATTTCAGTGACTTCAAATATTCATTGCATCGGCACCATGATGAAGTGCATAGCGGTAAGATTTATTCTAGCATACCATATACCGAGCAGTTTTCTTGTTTTTTCTGCGGCCCATATGTGTCAAGTCAAGTTGTCAAATCAGAATATTTTAGATTCTTAATCATCTTAATCCTTTCTTCTTCTTAGTCTACTGTTCATAGAGACACATTGGATTTTTCTGATGAAATTTTTTGCTTTACAGAACTTTTAAGTTTCATTGTACAATTCATCCCGACTGAAATCATATACTGTTGCCTAGATTCTTTTCCACACACCAGAATTGCTAACGCTTTGCCAACATATTTTCAGCTTGGCGCAGTTGAGTTTCTTAGAAAACCTCTGTCTGAGGAGAAACTACGGAATATATGGCAACATGTGGTTCATAAGGTTGATCTGAATTCTGCTTGAATTACATTGGCATATACATGTAAACGGCAACTAAGGTACTTTGTTATATAAATTCTCATTTTATTATTCCTTTACAGGCATTCAATTCTGCGGGCAGAGACCTTTCTGAATCACTAAAGCCTGTTAAAGAATCCTTGGTTTCAATGCTGCATTTACTATTAGAAAATGGAGAACCTAAGAATGACTACTCAAATAAAGCCGAAGATGCATCTGTGATTCATGAAAATGACCCTGAACCATCAACAGCAAGTGATATGTACTCGGCTCCTTCAACACCACAACTAGAGCAGGGAGGAAGGTTGTTACCCGGGGGTGATTGCCAAGATCATACTAACTGCTTGATTGAAAAAGAGAGCTGCGAGCAGGATAGAGAATCCAAATCTGTTGAAACTACCAGTGACAATTCAATTGCTGAAGTAACTGCACCAGTTGGGTCACCCCGGGGACCCCGGGGACCAAGGGGGACAAATGTAAAAGTGGAGGCTGACTTAGTTGATGGTATCAAGTGCGAGAGCACCTTGTGCTCTCAAACAAAAAACGGAGTAAATAACAAAGATTCTAATGCTGTTGCTGAAAACGCCAATACTGTTTCTGGTATTCCTAGTTCTTGTCCGAACAAAGCTAATCGGAAAAAATCGAAGGTAATATAGCTCGTAATATATATGTATATATAATTCATACCTTGTCTTTTATTGGAAAAAGTTCACAAGTTCTTATGGTAACATTCCCTTACGCTTGCAGCAAATCTTGCACTTGTCCAGTAGACCTGCCACTATCTTTTGTCAGATACCAGCCTAGGAAACACATCTTACTGAGAGCATTTGCTAATCATTAATCTACCATCACATGGTCCCACAGTTCCATCATATTTCTGCTCAAAACTGAACTCTTAGGTTGATCAGTTTTTAAGATTTTAAAACTTTTTGACATTTAGAAAGCTGTTTACATGCCATCCTCGAACATTACTTCCAGTTTTTTCCTGCCATTATTTGCTTTCATTATCTAGTTCTTCAGATTACACCGAAAAGTTTTGGAGGAAGGTTATCATTAACTTGTGTTGTCTTTTTCTTTTTTCCATTGTTATAAGCCCTAGGATCAAGTCTTGGGGTAACTCTTGCCCGTAATCAAGGAAAAAGTTGAAAGTAGGTTGGATGGGTTATTGGTTAGAATCATCTATTGTGCTATACTGTTTGCAATTTTTTTGTTCATGCCTAATATACCAACTTTTTCAGCACACGTAGACATGGAAAAAGAGTTCCCACCGAACTTTTATTGATTAATTTCCTTTGAACATTTATGATCAAGTAACTTTTTATACGGTTTTATATGGGTGTACAAATTAAGTACTTTTTTTGGGTTTGAATCCTCAGGTAGATTGGACTCCAGAACTCCACAAAAAATTTGTACAGGCAGTGGACCAACTAGGTATAGATCAAGCCATCCCTTCTCGAATACTAGAGCTAATGAAAGTAAAAGGCTTGACACGGCATAATGTTGCTAGTCATCTCCAGGTTGGTATCGGTTTTGCCTTTCTGATAAATGCTCAATTTGATTCTACATTCCATTACTTTTCATTCACTATGTAGTCCACTGCTTATACCTGTTGAAAATTCAGCTCCGGTTACAGTTTTGCTTCTAAAGAATGGTTTACTTTGTCATTCTAGCTAAGCTTAGTGGATGTAGACATAAGACATTGCCATATACATGACATGTACCTTGTTTACATAAATGTACGGCCAAATTTTGCCCTTTTCTTTGCTTCTTCGGCTTGAACACCGGTGAATAAGTTTTGGCATCTTCGGGTTGAACACCGGTGAATAAGTTTTCTACTCTTGGCTGAAAATGATTCGCCCGTTGTTTGTGAAGCAGAAATATAGAATGCATAGAAGGCACATTTTGCCAAAGGGGGATGATCGAAGGTGGCCGCAGAGAGATCACATGCAAAGGAGTTGTTATCCACATAAACCAATCATGGCCTTCCCACCATATTACTCGAGTCATGTTGCCTCGATAGGTCCACCCTATCCCATGTGGGGACCACCTCCTCATCCATCTAGCATCCAGATGTGGGGCTCACATAGTTACCCCCCTTGGCAATCAGTTGAAAGTAGGCATTGGAATCCATATCTAGGGGTAAGTTCATTATTCTCTACGATTTCATATTTTTTAAATTCTTGGCCGACTTCATTAACAAGCATGTCACAGTCCATGGAAGAAGATATGAAATGCAGCTACATATTTGATGTATGATCTTTTTTCTTTTTCGTTTTTATAATTCAGGTGCATGTTGATGCATGGGGTTGCCCTGTTATGCCCCCACCTCTTAGATATTGTTATACTTTCACTCAAGTAAGTAGTTCTCAACATACATATAATGGTCATTTTTTGGGTATATATATATATATATATATATATATAAAAGAGTTTTATATTGTGTAAGTGGATCATAATACACATATATATATATATATCAAGTATATGAATGAATTTTAATATATTTTTCTGGTATTCCGGTTAATGCAAACCTGCAGAATGCATCTGTATTTCATTGTTATGGCACCGTTGATAACAGAATTGGCATGCCTCAAAATTTCGTTGAACATCAGCCGATAATCTATCTTTTTATTAATCTTTTTAGTTTCGACCAGTTCCATTGATGTGTTTAAACCTTCACGCGGGACACCAGAATCGTTAACCTGCAGTTTGTCTTTATGTAGGATTAATGAGGTATCACTATCTTGTTGAAAATTCAAAGCATTGAAAATTCAAAGCATCTAGATAGCAGTCGGTGGCTGTAGAAATTCAAATGGGCTGATGAATTTTTTTATTATTTTGTACTAGAGATAATTACAAAATTGAGTTATTGAATTTTAGGATATTTTCAAAGATTATCCTTAAGCTTCAACTATAAATACCCTAGCTCATTTAGCTTCAAAATTATCCCAAAATCATTTATTTCTCCCATTACTAGGGAATTTTATTGTGAGTAGTGAGTGTTTTGTAAACAACTGTAAATTTTCTCTTAGTAAAAGATCTGCAACAGTCCTGAGACGTAAGTAAAATTGGCTGAATTTTGTTATCAATTTTGGATATTATTTTTCCGTTTTTATTTTACATTCTCACTAATCTGGTTATAGGAAAATTACTCGTTACTCGGGCCAATTTTGTAACAAACCGAATAACGAGTAATTTCCCTATAACCAGATTAGTGAGAATGCGAAATAAAAACGGAAAAATAATACCCGAGATTGATAACGGAGTTCAACCAATTTTGCTTACGTCTTAGGACTGTTAAGATCTTTTACTAAGAGAGAAAATTTATAGGTGTTTATAAAACACTCACTACTCACAATAAAACTCTCTAGTAATGGGAGAAAGAAATGATTTTGAGATGATTTTGAAGTTAAATGAGTTAGATTATTTATAGTTGAAGCTTAGGGACTAATTTTTGAAAATACCCTAAAGTTCAATGACTCAATTTTGTAATTATCCTTATTACAAAATAATAAAAAAATTCATCAGCCCACCTTTGAATTTCTACAGCCACTGGCTGCCATCTAGATGCTTTGAATTTTCAATGCTTTGAATTTTCAATAATCTCCTACTTGAATACTGATTTTAATCTGTCGTCACATCTCGATCAATGCAACACTATTTCTGGTCTTTTATTCTAACATGCCAACTGAAGCTGAACACAACTTCAGTTTGTCCGTAATCTCCGTCTTTGTCAACATGTCTGCAGGATTTTGAGCTTCACTAATCTTTTCAAGTTTTAAAATCCCATATTCCAGAAGAGACCAGATAAAATGATATCGCAATTGTATGTGTTTCGTTTGGAATGAAAAGACAAATTCTTTGCTAGATGGATAACACTTTGACTGTCGCAATACAATACATTATTTTCTTGTTTCTTGTCTAATTCTTTTACGAAACTTTGGAGTCAAATCATCTCCTTTGCTGGCTTCCGTAACGACATATTCTGCTTCAATTGTGAAGAGAGCAACTATCTTCTGTAGTTGAAAAACCCAACTCACTGCGGTTCCTCCTAGAGTATAAATATACCCTGTAGTGCTTTTTCTGATGTCAACATTTCGGCTAAGTCAGTATCTATATAACCTGTCAGTATCGTATCTCCACCTTTGAAACAAAGTACTTTGTTTGTAGTACTCCGCAGATATCTGAGGATCCATTTGACAGCTTCTCAGTGTACATTGCTTGGATTATTCATGTACCTGCTAACAGCTCCCACTACATGAGTAATATCTGGTCTGGTACAAACCATGACATACATCAAACTTCCAATTGCTGAGGCGTACGGCACTTTCACCATGTGTGCACGTTCTTCCTTCGTCTTTGGTGACTGTTCTTTGGAGAGTCTAAAATGAACACCTAAAGGTGTACTTACTGGTTTAACATCTTGCATGTTGAACCTGAAGAGTATTTTGTTGATGTACTCAACTTGTGATAACATCAAAGTCCCCGACTTTGTGTCTCTCTTGATCCTCATCCTAAGAATCTGCTTTGCAGTGTCCAGATCTTTCATTGCAAGATGTTTCGACAATTTTTACTTCAAGTTTATAATCTCTTGCATGTCTGAGCCTGCAACGAGCATGTCATCAACGTATAACAATAAAATAATGAAGCTATTGGCGAACCTCTTGATGTAGCAACGATGATCTGCTTGATATCTGGTAAAACCACTGCTACTCATGAAGCTATCAAACTTCTTGTAACACTGTCTAGAAGTTTGTTTTTAACTATACACGCTCTTCTTCAACATGTATATCATGTTTTTCTTGTTTGCCTCTATGAAGTATTTGACTGTCTCATATAGATTTCTTCCTCCAAATCACCATGAAGAAAAGCTGTCTTTACATCTAACTGCTAAAAATGTAAATTATTTGTAGCTACAATTTTCAACACCAGTCTGATTGTAGACAATTTTACGACTGGAGAGAAAATTTCATTGTAGTCAATACATTCTTTTTGCTGAAAACCTTTGACAACCATTCTTGTTTTGTAGCGTTTGCTTCCATCATACTCTTCTTTGATCCTGTAAATTCACTTGTTATGAAGCATTTTCTTGCCTGGTAGTAATTCAACTAATTTCCATGTCTGATTTGACATAAGCGAGTCTATCTCATCTTTCATGAAGACTCTCACTTGACTGAATCTTCCACCTGCATTGCTTCCTCATGGCACTCTGGTTCACCATTGTCAGTCAGCAACAAGTAGTGCAAAGAAGGCGAATAACGCTGGTTGATTTAGGAATTCTGGGGGAGCGTCTCAGTTCTGGTGTACATGGTTCTTCTTGAACAGCTTCAGGATTGATCTGAACATCATTTCCAGAAATCTCTTCAAACTCAACAAATTCTTTTGTTTCAGTTTTAGTGTTGGAGATACTTGATTCTATGGTTGATGTCTTTGTACATAACATTCTCATTGAAAATGACATCTATGTTTATGATGATTTTTCGATTTTCCGATTTTCATAGTCTCAAAATCGGTAACCGAACTCTTCACCACCATAACCAACAAAAACACATTTGTTGGACTTGACATCAAGTTTACTTCTTTCAGCAGAGTCTATGTGTACATAAGAAATACAACAAAACACTCTTAAGTGTGAAAGATTTATTTCTTTTTTGCTCCAAAATTCATTTGGTATTCCACCATCCAAGGGAACTGAGGGCTCAAGATTGATCAGGTAAGCTGCAGTGTTGATAGCTTCAGCCGATAGCATTTTGGGCAAGCCGACATGTATCCTCATGCTTCTGGCACGTTCATTCAGAGTTCTGTTCATGCGTTCTGCTACGCCATTCTGCTGCGGTGTCATGGGAACTGTTGTCTCCATCTTGATCCTATTGTTTGCGCAGAAACCTCTTAATCTTTTATTTTTATATTCTCCTCCATTATCAGACCTCAACCGCTTGACTTTCAAATCAGTCTCATTTTTCACCACGGCCTTCCATTTTCTAAAGGTATCAAAGACTTCTGATTTCTTCTTCAGAAAATAAATACACACTTTCCTCGTAGAATCATTGATGAAGGTGACATAATATAATGAGCCTGCAAGAGATGAAACTATAGATGGTCCCCATACATTAATATGAACTAACTCTAACTTTTCAGCCTTGTGTGTGTTGCCAATCTTTGCAAAATTGACTTTCTTTTGTTTGCCAAAGATGCAATCATCGCATAGTCCGATATCTACATTCTTTAGATCCAACAGCTTTTCTTTTGACAAAAGTGTTTTCATCCATTTCTCGCTCATATAGCCAAACCTTTGGTGTCATATGTTTGATTTTCCATCATCATCTGTTGCAACAATGATATTCTCTAAGTTTGATGTTACATGGAAAGTAAGTCTTCTTATCACGAGCAATGATGAGTGCTCATTTGGTAATCTTCATTCACAGCTGAAAATGTTGTACTATATCATTCTCATCAAGCTGTCCTACAGAAATCAGATTTCTTTTGAGACCAGGAATATGTCTCACTTCTTTAAGCTTCCAGGTGGTATGGTTTGACAATTTTAGTCAGATGTCTCATTTTCCGACGATCTTCAAGGTTTCATCATCAACTAGATGAACCTTTTCAAAATCACCATGGTATAATTTTTCATGATTTCTCGGCATGGGGTGGAGTGGAAAGATGCTTCTGAATCCAAGATCCATGATTCAATCGGACTGTTGACACTTAGAATCATGGCATCACTTGTCTCATTTGTCACGTTGGCAGATTCCTGTGCGCTAGTATTTTTTTCGGTGCTCGACAATCTCTTTTAAAGTGACTATTCTTACCGCAGTTATAACAGGTAAAATCTTTCTTTCTCGTTAATTTTCCCATTCTATATTTGGATCTGTCACGATTTGAATTTCTTTCTGAAGTTCTCCCTCTGAACTCCGTATGCAAGGTTGAGGAGGTTGATGCTTCTCCCGATTCTCTCCGTCGAATTTCTTCGCTTAATACTAGATCCTAAACATCGTCGAATTTTAATTTGCTGTTTCCCGATGAGCTGTTGACTGTTGTAACAGTAACATTCCAATTGTCTGGTAGAGATGATAAGAGAATTAAAGCACGAATTTCATTATCGAATTCAATTTTCACGGAACACAACTGGGTTGTGATCGTGTTGAGTTTATTCAAGTGTTGAGCCACTGATGTCCCTTCCGTCATCTGCAAATTGAATAATCGTCTTATCAAATGAATTTTATTTGAGGGCGATAGCTTCTCATACATACTGGAGAGAGCCGCCATAAGACCCGTCGTGGTATTTTCCTTTGTTATGTTGAAAGCAACATTTCGGGACAACGTCAGTCGGATAACTCCGAGGGCTTGTCTGTTGAGAAGAGCACAGTCATTCTTCATGTCCTCTGGTTGCTTCTTGAGAGAGGTTGATATAGATTTTTCTAGTACAGAAATCCTCAATCTGCATCTTACAAAAGTCAAAGTCCGCACCATCGAACTTTTCAATTTTTACTTTCCATTCGTTTGCAGTCATCGCTCCCACTTGAATCTGGCTTCTTTGGATTGTTTCTGACAATTTTCGCGAACCGCCGTGTATTAGAACATCTCCGTCGATAAATTCGTATCGCCGACAAAATTCTTACTATTCACGAAATTTACTATTTACGTGAATAGTAATAAATAGTAATTGACCAGTTCCATTGATGTGTTTAAACCTTCACGCGGGACACCGGAATCGTTAACCTGCAATGCGTCTTTATGTAGGATTAATGAGGTACCACTATCTGATGTTGCACTTTTATTTTCACTTTGATGAATGCATTTGCAGGCGGACGAAGTAGTTGACAAGGTTGTGAAGGAAGCAATAAACAAGCCATGGTTACCTTTGCCTTTAGGTCTCAAGCCTCCTTCCACCGACAGTGTGCTAGCTGAGCTCTCTAGACAAGGCATCTCAACCGTCCCTCCATACATCAATGGGCGTAATCTATTCTGACGTGGCACTGTGTTACTGGTTCGTTCGGACCACCTTTTTTGTTGCACTGAACTTTTTCAAGCTCCCATAATTCAGTCATGGAAGTAGGAAAAAGAAAAGAAAAGAAAAATAATAATAAAACATTTGCAGATATGTCTGGTGGAGTGCAATGTGTATTATCACTACATTTAACATTTGTTGATAATCTAATTCATCTATCATCACAATGATAATGAGTATTAGCAACTTTAGTGTCAGAATAAAGGAAAAATAATGAGTATTAGTAAAAAAATATTTTAAGTATTAAATATTGTTTTTCTTTTTATTATTATTGTATTTTGTAAATAAGAGATTAGTTTTACGTTACTGTAGTGAAGGATTTTTTTATATCACAATTCAAATTTTTAAAATAAAAGGTTTAAAAATTCTAATAAAAGTTATTTGTTGTGAAATTTAGTTTTGATTCGATTTTACAAATTGAATTATGAATTTAATTTGATTGTATATATTTGTTTATATAATTGTAAAATTATAATATGATCTTATAAAAAAAATTATAATATGATGATAATGGTATTAGGTGTGTCCTTTGAAAATTGCATACCAAGGTAGTATTGGTTTACGAATATTATTTTATTATTCAAAATTTATAAAATTTAAGTCAGATTGTTTCATTTATTCATTGTACTGTTAATTGTTGTTATTCAATAGATGCAATTTGATCATCGAACTTTAAATAAAATATTAGTTTAATTTAAAATTTTACATTTTCTATTTTTCTTAATAACGTAATAATAAAAACTTTTAAACCAAAGAAACCCTAACAACTGCATATCATCACTGTAGTTGCTCTGGCGACTTTGCCCTATCACTGTCACCATCAAACGACTCATCTTCGCTCTCTTTCTATTTTATTAATCGATCGAACTCCTAAAACTCATCATACGTAGGATAAAAAGAGATGCCTTTGCGCTTAGTTAATGCTTATTGTTTTTCATGTCTGTTATCCAAATTCCCAAATCTCCTCATGATCCACAGCCTTAAAGTCAACATCCCATAATTAAAACATTGAACTTTTCCATTTTTTTAATTTTACTCTATCTTATTTCACTCGTTGAGCTTTAAGATTTAAAGTGCTGGATCACCCGCACTATATGTGAAGGTAAATAGCTTTCTGGGTTTCAACTGAAAATTCCCATTTGTTCTTTCACCGTTGAACCTTATATTCACTGTAGTTTGCCTGCAAGATGTTCATGCTTAAATTGTAACCCTTAAGGTGTGTGGGTTTTATTTCTTATTCAAACATATTGTGGTTGCTTATAGGGTGACAATAGGCACTTGGAATGTTGCTGGAAGACTTCCATCCGAGGATCTCGAGATTGACGATAGGCTTTGCACCGATGATCCAGCAGATATTTACATTATCGGGTGAGTATTTCCTTTTGTTGGTGGATCTTACATCATTTGAGGTTCAAGTTTAATTCGGGTCAATGAAAATTCAGTTCCGGTCGAGTCAAAATCGGATTGGTTACTTTTTGAGTCGGATTAATATCATATCGGTTAGCTTCGGGTCGGGGTCAATATCGAATTGATTGGTTTCTGTTCAGGTCAATCATTAGATTTTCGGTTCAATTCGGGTCGATTTTAATTCGAGTCAACCTTTAAATTTTCTGGTCAACCTTTAAATTTGTAGGTCAACCGTGTCGCTCTTTGTCGTCATAACTTTGGATGCAACTCTTTTTACTTATAATTCAAGAATTTTATGTGAATATATATTGTCACAGTCTAGAGATAATCTTTTAATTGAGGAAAGAATATATTAAACCATTAAACTATTACTAAAAGTGGTGGTTAACTATAATATAAAATATGAATAAAACATACATCATTTTACTATTTATCAATGCTAATAATAATAATAATAATAATAATAATAATAATAATAAATAAATAAATTATTTATTCACTTAGACTCAATTATCGGGTTAAAATCGGGTCGAAGTTCGGTTTGAATTAGATATGAGTAAACTAAATTCGTGGTTGCTTTGGTTAGGCTTGATTTCGGTCCAACTAAAATTCTGGTCGGTTTCGGTTTAATTCGGGTTATTTCGAGTTTTAGATCAATTTAGGTCATCATATTCGGGTCTGTTCGGATAATCAGGTACGAGTCAAATTTACGAGTTCTAGATTTGATGAATCAATGCCCTCCAAGTTTTGATGTGCTGCAGAAGGTATTTTTATTGATTGCGCCTGTGCAGGGATCAGTTTCTGTTGGCATGAGCTAGGGTGTTTATCGAGCGAGTCGATCACGAGTTTGACAATGCTCGTTAAAAAATTTTGTTGCTCAACTCGACTCGTTGTAAGTTAAGCTCATTAAATTTTTGCTCGACTCGTGCTCGTTAAAAAAACTTGTTGCTCGACTCGTTGCTCGTTAAACTCACCGAAATTTTTACTTTATTTCTTAATTATAGGTAAAATCTACTAATACTATACAAAGCTTAATATAAACATAAATTAATAAATTTAATTAAAAATATTATCAAAAGAGTGTATGAAACAATTTCAAAGTCTAAACTCTAAAGGAACAATCCATAAATACATTAAAATAATAAATATGATTTGATTTTTTAGTGGAGTAAAATACTATTTAATAATTTAATATTTTTTTGTTGTTTATTAGAAAATTAATAGATTAACAATTCATCATCTTTTTCATTATCTATTAGTAAATTAATATTTTTTTGAATGAAATAATTTTTTTAAGATAACTGTTGAAAATACTTTATAAAAAAATTAACTAATTGCTCGTGAATTTATTAAGTTGATTTAGATTTTGCTCGAATAAACTTGTTAAGATCTTGAGTCGAGCTCAAAATCGAATCGAATTTTTATCGAACTTTGACTGAATCGAGTTCGAACTGCTTATAAACTGCTCAACTCATTAATTACCCTTTGGCATGACACTTTTTCAATGAAGGCTGTTCTTTGTGTGTTCTCATCTGACATCAGATCATAAAATTAGAGCTGAACAAAAACATAACTCCGATGTGTATGAAATTATACGGCGTACCCGTTTCTCATCCACCCTTGACACAGAATAACCCCTAACAATTCCATCTTATGAGTAGCTTACTGACCATTGCCGGATTATTGAGTAGCTTTGATGGGTGAGGATTTGTAAATGGCTGCTTTTCTTAACAGTCAAATATTTTGGTTCGGCGATTTAAATTACCGTCTCAATATGTTGGATGCCGAGACGAGAGAGCTTGTTGCTTTAAAGCGCTGAGATGAACTAATCAACAATGAACAAGTGAGTATCACAGTGATCTTGTTTTACCTTAGCATACAAACTTTTTAATAACGAAAGTTAATGGCTTCAACTCTGTTCCACAGCTTCATAATGAACTCAGTTGTCGACATGTATTTGATGGATGGAAAGAAGGGGTAATAAACTTTCCTCCCACCTACAAGTATGAAATCGACTCGGATAGATATGCCGGTGAGATCCTTAGAGAAGGGGAGGAGAAGAGGTCTCCGGCGTAGTAAGTAATAAATTTTGTAAAACATTTCTGACACAATGCCACTGATTTTTCAGAAAGTTCCACATCAATTACTTATAATGTGCATTCATTCTCTTGATAGGTGTGATCGAATACTCTGGTCAGGGAAAGGCATAAAACAACTTAGATACCAGCGAACAGAATTAAGACTCTCCGATCATCAACCTGTCAGTTCAACTTTTTTGCTAGAAGTCGAAGTCTTGGACCGTCGGAAGTTGCAAAGGGCTCTCAATGTTAGCGCTGCTGCTGTCCATCCCGACATTTTGTTTGATGAAAACGAAGAATTTGAACTTTAGCAGAAACCACGTGAGGATTCAATAACAGTAATTGTCTGTTTGGTTGGGGGAAAACATTTTACGGAAAAATATTTTTCCCGTTTTCTCGTGTTTGGTTCTCGTAAAATAAGAGGTCAACGTATTTTGTTTTCCTGTCAACGGAAAACTTAAAGGGAAATATGGTAAAATGACCTACCGTTTGGAAAAGGGTAAGTCGTTTTCCATCGTTCTGCAACTCCCTTGCTCCACACCGAAAACAATTCGTTCTCTCGTCCCTTGCTCCACACCGAAAAATTGACCGATCCAAAGACTGGATCCACTCAGAAATCTTTGTCCCAGGTTCCCCTTTTCTATCCTTTGTGTTCTTTCTTCTTTTATTTTTTTTCTCTGTGGTTTTCGTTCGTAGATTTGGCTCTGTGTTCTTTCTTGAAAATCTGGAGTTTCTCAGTATTTTCATTCTTGTTCTGAGGTTTGAGTGGATTATTGTTAATTGATTTTTTAGCATGCAATATGGGACATTTAAAACCCAACAAAACAGTAGGTGTAAGGGGCTCTCCTCTGTTTAAGAGCATATGCTGTTAATAAATCATGGGCGATTGGGTTTCTGATCGATATATCCGGTGCCTTGTTGATGCTGAGAGAGTTATCTATGGATCCGGTGAATTTGATTTTCTTTAATTTTGCAATAGACCAAATTTGTTGTTTCTTTGTAGCGTGACCAATGTTTGGCTACAAAGGGATTGATAGTGTAAAATTTGTGTATTCTTTATATTTTTGACTACGAAAGTGTTGTTCAGGTATCCATCATTCAACCGGTATCCGACTGCGGGCTCGCCATTCTTTCGATCTTATCGCACTTCTATTTACAAGAAGTCATGAATGTTATTGACTGGTTGGGGATTACATTAGCTGGCATTGGCACCATAGGTAATGCAAGTTTTTCCTGGTTCTTGAGTTAGTTTAAAAGCCTTCCCCCCATTGACATCATGTTATATTTCGACAATGATTCTAGGATTTTGAAATCTGTAAAAGATACATTCTCCTGGTGGTTGTGCTAATAGTTTCTGCAACAACCGAAATCACCCAGTTTAGCCTTATGGTTTTACGACAGTGAAATAGAATACCATTGACCTATATGAACTAGTAATAATATTATTTTCTACAATTAGGAGTTGGCGCCGGTGGAGAGGAGCAAGAGGCTTCTTCAGTATCTATTTTGCAGTTACCACGGTTGGCATTCTCTGTTGTGATCTTGTTTGTAGGTACCTTTTACCCACACTCTTCATCTAATTAGTATTGCTTTTACACGCGTGCACATAGATTATCATCTGAAATGTGTTGAAGGATTCATGGGTAGTTCTGTTGTGCGGCGCCTAAAAAACGGCCTAATATACGGCGTGACCGGTTAAACAAGTGACCGGTTAAAATTTAGACCGGTTATGTTATATTATTTAACCGGAAATATTATCAAGTACAATAACATATTAGGTAACGCTTATATAATGTAATAGATAGCGCTTATATAATGTAATAGATAGCGCTTATATAATAAAATATGTATTTAACCGGAAATATTATCAAGTACAATAACATATTAGGTAGCGCTTATATAATGTAATAGGTAGCGCTTATATTGACCTATTTTATAAGTAAACAAATATATTTATACCGGTAACATTGCAAATTTACCTATTACATTATAATTATCGGTTTCGATATTTTTTAGATCGATACTTTTTATAAATGTATCGACACTATATGCGTTCACCTTTTGTCATTTATAGACCGATTTTGTCATATTTTTACATGTTATATTGTTATGGATCGATACATTTTTATAAAGTATCGACACTTTATTAGCGCTATAACTTATTCTCTTTTAAATTCCAAAAATGTCGATACGTATAATAAATTATCGACACTTTCAACATAACCGGTAGCGCTTTACCTGTTTTATCATTTCGAGATCGGTTTTGTCATATTTTTACCTGTTATATTGTTATGGATCGATATATTTTTATAAAGTATCGACACTTTATTGGCGCTATAACTTCTTCTCTTTTAAAAAAAGTAACATTTACCTAATATGTTGAAAGTCTCCATACTTTTATAAAAAGGATCGATGTTTTTTTAAAGTTATGTAATTTATGTTTCAATCATTTTAAATATTTCATGTTTTTCACCTACAATATTAATTTAATAATTTCATTTACACAAAAAATTATTTGATTGTTTTGATATTTTATAAAATATTATTTAAAATTTAAATTTAACAATATTAACCAAAGATAATAATAAATATGTAATATATATGTTTATTGTTTTTAATTTAATAATAATATATTTTTACTTATTATATTGTAAAGTATCAATCCTTTTTATAAAAAGAATCAATACTTTCAACATATCAGGTAACATTATGAAAAAAGGTAAAATTTACCTGATATGTTAATTTACCTATTACATTATAATTATTGGTTTTGATGTTTTTTGGGTCGATACTTGTAGAAAATGTATTGACACATATTTAGTAGTTATTGTACATACCTAAATATGTACTGCGAATTTAATGTTGTACCCACCCTTTAACTACCATTACCAATACCACATCCTATTGAAAGCAGCACGACTGAAACATGTTCAAAATGAACCTTTGCTTACATCTCCATCAACTCCGAGACCACTGAACTTGCACAACAAAATTTTTGCCATGGATCATACTGATGTAGACAATGTTAAGCCAACCGAGGAATGCCATGAAGTACATAATGTTGATGAATCTGACAGATTGGTTGGTCAGCTCTTCTGTTCACGTGATCAAGCTTGGTACTTTTACAAGGGATTCGCACGGAACATGGGTTTAATGCACGTAAGGGAACAACACGGCTTGACGTGGAAGGGAATGTGAAGACACAAGAATTTTGTTGTTCCAAAAAAGGGTTTCGAGTATCAAAAGTCAATACCGTTGATCGTCAACGTGCTCATACGCCAGTCACAAGAACAGGATGTAAGGCTAGAGTCTTAGTTACATCAACAAATACAAACGATCAGTGGGTTATAAGTAAGTCTGATCATAAACATAATCATGTATTGTGCACACCTGCTATGACACCATTTATGTGTTCTAATAGAGCTGTAAGTAAGGCTGATATTGATGAGGCAACAACATTGAAAGAGGTCAGTGTTGGCACGTCACAAGTAATGAACTATTTAACGCAGCAGGCAGGGCTATCATAATGTTGGATTTACACATAAAGACCTCTACAATGCACTTCAAAGAGGTAAAGCAAAGGAAATCGTCGATGGGGATGTGAATGCGCTTATTGCCTACTTTGATTATAAGAAACATGATGATCCCGGGTTTTTTTATGACATACTCGGTAGATGAATCGGGGGTATTGTATAATCTTATTTGGTCGGATTCTACATCGAGATTGGATTACACATGCTTTAGGTGATGTAATTGCATTCGACACAACGTACAAAGATAATTTGTATGGTCGACCAATTATGCCTATTGTCGGTGTCAATCACCACCATAACACAATTGTGTTTTCCACTGCCATAATCGCTGACGAGACGTCTCAATCTTTCGAGTGGGTGCTACAAAAGTTTTTAGAAGCCATGATGAATAAATCACCTATTTCAGTTGTCACCAATGGGGATAGGGCAATGCAGAGGGCTATCAAATCTTTTATCCCTTATGCTAAGCACATATTATGTTCTTGGCATCTTTCTCGCAATGCACAAGCTAACATTGGTGACCCAAAGTTTACAGCATCATTCTCAAAATGCATGGCTTCCTGGTGGACAACCGAGGAATTTGATATTCAATGGCGTTTGGTTGTTTCAGAATTCAACGTCCAAAAGCATCCATGGGTGATTGAGAAGGGAAATACACGACACTTATGGGCACAAGCATATCTATCTGGTCATTCTTTGCCAATATTCGCTCAACACAAAGGTGCGAGTCTATGAATGTTTCACTAGCGATTGCACTGAAACACAAGAAGACATATTTAGATGTTCGTGCAATTGAAGATGGAATTAGTAGAATGCGTATGAATGAGTTGAAAGTGAATTACTTAAGTTCCCATACGAAGCCCTTCCAGATCACAAAACTGGTCGACCTTGAAAGCCATGCCGCTGCGATTTTTACCCGCGAATCTTTTCGTGCGTTCCAAGATGAACTTATACGGGAGACATTGTACCGGATTGAGGCAGAAATTAAGTCCTTATCAGATGAATGTCAACATTATATTTTGTCAAAGTATGCAGAAAAAATAGGAAATTTGAAATTAGTTTTGATTCTCATACGAAAACTCTAATTTGCTCCTGCAAAAAATTTGAGACCGTTGGACTTCCGTGTCGCCATCAACTTCACATTTTGAAGCACTTGGATTACACATATTTGCCCAGGACTTTGATTCAAAGTAGGTGGACTAATGATGCGAAGGCTTTTGCACCCAGTTATGTTGACATGAATGTGTCTCCAGGAGTGATGCAAATGGCAAGGTTCGCTGCTCTACGTTCAACGTCAAGTAGGTTATGCTACATTGCATCAAAGACAAACGAGTCTTTCCAAATCGCAAGAGATGAGATGAAAAAACTAATAGAAGAATTAGAAAACTCGTTTGGTTTGAATGATTCAGTCAACCAGAGCATTGTAGTAAACAACGTTCGTGACCCTCAACGAAAACAACGCAAGCGAAAAAAAGTGCCGAAGAACAAGGTCGAGAAGAAAATTAGGCGATGTGGGTACTGCAACGGTGAGGGACATAACAAACTAACATGTCCTCAAGTCAAGCTCAGTTTGAGTACAAGCACACAGCCTACATCAACTGATTTTTTCGAAGACGGAATGGAATGACAACGATCTCCATATATCGTAAGTATCAACATGACTTCTATTGTGTATAAGAAACATGTACATATAAATATTGAATGAAGGAAGAAAAACCGCGTTACTTAAAAGTATGGACACAATATTAAAAAGTGTCGATATAGGTTGTAGACCTATTCTCTCATAAAACCGGTATATTTATACCTGTTATATTACAAAATTACCTATTACATTATAATTATGGGTTCCGATGTTTTTTCAATCGACACTTTTTGAAAAGGTATCGACACTTTTTTCATCCATTATGGACATAAAGTAGCGACACAATATTAAAAAGTGTCGATATAGGTTGTAGACTTATTTTCTCATAAAACCAGTATATCTATACCGGTTATATTACAAAATTACCTATTACATTATAATTATGGGTTTTGATGTTTTTTCAATCGATACTTTTTGAAAAGGTATCGATACTTTTTTCATCTATTATGGACATAAAGTAGCGACACAATATTAAAAAGTGTCGATATAGGTTGTAGACCTATTCTCTCATAAAACCGGTATATCTATACCGGTTATATTACAAAATTACATATTATATTATAATTATGGGTTCCGATGTTTTTTCAATCGACACTTTTTGAAAAGGTGTCGACACTTTTTTCATCCATTCTGGACATAAAGTAGCAACACAATATTAAAAAGTGTCGATATAGGTTGTAGACCTATTCTCTCATAAAACCGGTATATTTATACCAGTTTTATTACAAAATTACCTATTACATTATAATTATGGGTTCCGATATTTTTTCAATCGACACTTTTTGAAAATGTATCGACACTTTTTTCATCCATTCTGGACATAAAGTAGCGACACAATATTAAAAAGTGTCGATATAGGTTGTAGACCTATTCTCTCATAAAACCGGTATATCTATACCGGTTATATTACAAAATTACCTATTACATTATAATTATGGGTTCCGATGTTTTTTCAATTGACACTTTTTGAAAAGGTATCGACACTTTTTTCATCCATTCTGGACATAAAGTAGCGACACAATATTAAAAAGTGTCGATATAGGTTGTAGACATATTCTCTCATAAAATCGGTATATCTAAACCGGTTATATTACAAAATTACATATTACATTATAATTATGAGTTTCGATGTTTTTTCAATCGACACTTTTTGAAAATGTATCGACACTTTATGCTGATATTTTTTGGGGTATATTGAAAATTTACCTATTACATTATAATTATGGGTTTCGATGTTTTTGGGGTCGTTACAATATTTTTAAGTATGAAAACTTTGTCGTGGATATCATGGAAAACAATTCTTTAATAATGTGTTTCGATACATTTGCAAGCAGGTGTAAAATACATTAATAACTAGTATTGATATTTCAACA